TGGACCTGTACGATCTTTGGTCTCAGCAGAATGGCATGCCTTGCCACACCTCACTTGCCACAATCGATTTTTGTCGCACCAAGTTCGGTAATCGTGTTATCAGCCGTCTCGGCGATGTCAATTGGCCACCTTGGAACTGTGATTTGACGCCGTTAGACTTTTTTTCGCGTATGCAGATGATATCGACATTGTCGGTCTGAAACAAAGGCACGTTACCACAGTATTTTTCAGTTTAGAAAAAGAAGCTAAAGAGGTTGGTCTAGCGGTGAATGAAGATAAGACAAAGTACCTCTTGGCAACATATAAAAAGTCCAAACGTTTCGGTCACACGTCACTCTTGGAAGCTATAACTTTGAAGTAGTGAAGGACTTTGTCTACCTAGGATCCAGCATAAGCACCATCAATGAGGTCAGTCTGGAGATCAAGCGAAGAATAACTCTGACCAACAGATGCTACTTTGGGCTCGGTAGGCAATTGAAAAGCAGAGACCTCTCTCGATGAACAAAAATTACGCTCTACAAGTCTTTCATCATGCCGTACCCTTAGAAGATGAAATTACAAACTGTAAGAGCTTTTTAGCGACATGCAAATAGTTATGCGATTGCGCTGTCTTGGACATGTTTTACGAATGGATGACGACGCTCTGGTGAANTCCCTAAGAAGATGAAATTACAAACTGTAAGAGCTTTTTAGCGACATGCAAATAGTTATGCGATTGCGCTGCCTTGGACATGTTTTATGAATCGATGAAGACGCTCTGGTGAAAAGATCCGCACCCACGGGTGGACAACGGAAGCAAGGGCGCCCTCGAACAAAATGGAAGGACCAAAAACAGGAGGACCTGTCTGCACTCGGGATGAGCAACTGGCGCAAATTCTCATTGGAGAGAGGCAATTGGAGAAGCTTTTTGGTCTCGGCACAGACCCACAAAAGGTTGTAGTGTCAAATAAGGATAAGAAGACTTTTTTTGGGAAGCCAGCCGAGGCAGCGACATGAATGAAATCGTGTACCATAAACAATGCGAATGTTTTCTCTTCGAGTCAACTGAAAAAAAAAGATTTTTGTTAATTTTTTTAAGAAACCACTATGTAGATACATTTATGACCCTTTACATATTTTTTTCAAGATATTGAGGACCTGGAATAAGAAAACTTAGCTTAACTCAATCGCTGCACTGATAAAGTGAGCTTAGGCTCCACAGTTCCTTTGAAAATTTAGTTGGAGCTGTCTTTTTATCACATGTCGACTACAAACCGACAAAAATAGCAACATCCATTTATGTATGTACATATATCTCTGAAATAAACTTCCGTAAACAGACATGAAGCAATAAACGCCTATATGATGTCCTTATCTGCAAACCTCTATTTTACTAGCGTAATACCTCAGGTTAAACGACATCTTTAAGTCTTTTTGAATATAACTCATAGAAAACCAATGATTGCCCACTACAGACATGTGGAACCTTTCACATAACCAAAATTCAACGACATCTTTAAGTCTTTTTAAATATAACTCATAGAAAACCAATGATTGCCCACTAAAGACATGTGGAACCTTTCACAGAACTAAAATTCACCTTTGCTCCCACTTTACTGAGGTACCGAATGGATCATTAACGCGTGCAATATAAATATTTCCGTCATCATCAATATTCCCTGCATATCCTGTTTCATTCTCTAAATCCATAAGAATATCACTGGCCGGATATTTATCATTTGTATGGTACGCAACATTCACCGGTGCAATTGCGCCAGACCAACCATCCAATCCCAACGAACCCCAAGCATTTGCAGGCGGCAATACACTGTCTTTAGATATATTCTCATCAATATTATCGCTGTGGACTGTCGCTGATGAACGTTTTTTATATAATTGCGCACGCATGTACTCAATTGTTAGATTGGGAAAAACTGGATCCACAAGATCAGTACGTTGCATCATCCACACTGAATAACCGTTTTTGACATTAGCGTCGGGTAATTCGAAAATAAAGGCAAATTTTGATTGTTTCATGACCGGCTCGTACATTTGTGGTATCATACGATTTACAAGATTCGTATTATTTGTAACGGTTTTAAAAGCATTTCGAATATCACTGAGAATTAAATCGGTGGTTGTTCGTGGATTCGATTCAAAATCACCACTCTGAGATGTACAGCTTTGAGTGAATAACACTAAAAAACTTAGGATAAACTTTTTTGGTTTCATTATCTTATACATATACATATATGTATGTATGTATGCACACGTATATGCAGTACTAATGAAAATAAACCAACTTGATTCACTTTTCTACAAATCTGCGACCTTAAATTTTGTGAGCGTTTAGCTCTTTGCAGATATACCGTCAAAATGAAGTTGATGAAAAGCAGCTATACGACCGCATTGGTACCCCAAAGCGGAATAAGTTTAAAATTTGAAAAAACTACTACTACAATATTAGGATTATGAAACAATCGGTTATGTATGCACATACTAAATATTAGGGTGTTCGATTATTTTCTTTTTTCCCCAAACCGGGTTTCGAGTTATTCGAAAAGTTGTAATTAGAAAAAAACTGGTTCCCGATTTTGAAATTAAGAAATCCGGATAAACCGGTTATACTCGCCCTTTTCCACAACCAATTCTTGAGATATTCGAAAATTTGCAATATGAAAAAAACCGGTTCCCGATTTTGAAATCAAGAAATCCGTATAAACCGGTTATATTCGCCCTTTTCCAAAACCGCCTCTTGATATATTCGAAAAGTTGCAATTTGAAAAAAACCCGGTTCCCGTTTTTGAAATTAAGAAGATTTTGATTTAAATAGTTTTCATACAGAGAAAATGCTTATGTTGGTATGAAGTCGCGAAAAAATTACAATTAATCTATAACAGTAAAGAAAAAGGCAAAGCAAAATAAGTTCAAATTTTTTTTAGATCAAACGACTAAAAATCAGTTAAAAATTCACGTTTGGTTTTATTTCAATTCTTTTCGGATTTAAGTAGTGCTCTTGCCGCCGCAGCCGAGTGCTTAGATGTGCCTATTGCCACTCGAGATGTCCATGGTTAAGTTTCTTGTCCCAGCAACATCAAAAAAAAAAATAGTTTTCAAATAGCGGTCGCCCCTTGGCATACAATGGCAAACCTCCGAGTATACATCTGCCATAAAAAAGCTTAGGTGGAGTAAAGGTGTAGATCTCTCCACATGTGTCATAACATCAGGAAGCAGAACACGGATTCAAGACAAGCTCGTGGTTAAGTAGAAAACGTTTAAGTGCCAACATTCATTTATTGGAATCAAATATGATATACTGTTTGTCGCTAAATAAATTAGGACATAATTTCAAAACTATTTAGTGAAAGAAAAAACCTAGAAAACTTCGAAAAACTTAAAAGTTTAATTGGGAGGTCAAGATTTGTGTGAAATGAAAAAAAAACCCAGTTGGTTCGATACAAAAATCCGGTCGAGAAATGGAGATTTCCAAAAAATACACCTATAGATTTAAAAAAGGGTAGAAACCGATTTGGAAAAACCGAGTCAATCACCCTACTAAATATATGTACATACATATAAATACGAGTACGTACACAAACTTACTACGGTTACATAAACTTAAACAGGTAAGTAAGGCAATAGTACAAATTTGTGGTATTGTACATAACGATCCTATATATAAGTAGGAGTGTACTTACTGACCATACACAGCAATATCAGTTATGTTAACCAGTTCAGCCCCATAGTCATAGTCATAGCACTCAATCAAATCTAATTACATAAATATATATATATGTATGTATGTGTGTATTTCAAATATCTTGCATGCAGACATTGTACGCGGAATAAAATAAATTTGTGTAGTTTGTCTAAAATTAGACAAAAAAAGATGTTTATTTCAACCATAAACCATATATGTATGTACATACATATGTAAATATGTACATACTACATACCCATGTACTTATGTACGTAGATAAATGCATAGATATGTACATATGTGGAAAATAGAGAAATAATAAAAATATTTTGGCGCTTACACTTTTTCGTGTTTGGCCAAGCTCCTCCAATGTTTGGTGTGCGTCCTGATGTTATTGACAAATTAACGGACATATAATTTTACGCCGCCTCCGAACTGGAAATGATTCTCAAAGCAGAGAACACTTGGGGTTTGCTGTTAGAAAATGTTGTCTTATTTGGATGTTGCCCAGACCAGGGACCGACCCAGGTCCTATGGAGTAGTAGTACGCACCTCTAACCACTCAGCCACAGCGATCCTACACCCTCATTTATTAGTGTATTTATGGGGTTGTCATAATAAAACAGTTCTTCAAAAAAAGAAAATAAAGAAATCATTTTAGAAAAATAAAAATAGTCTCATTGGGTAAAAAAAATCCCTGACCTTCAAAAACAGAGAGGCTTAAAATTTTTTCCTTGCAATGACCTTTTTAAAAAATGTAAATATATGTATGTTCTTGTATTCTATTGCCCATGGTCGAAGGAATCGAAAAACGAATTTTATTTTTTTTTTAAGTTTGTTACATGGTGTTTTCAGGTCAAAACAAGGAAAAAATAAACAAATTACTTTTGAAGTTCGTTTTCGAGGCAAGGTAATTTTTATGTCCAACGGAACCTTCAAAGTGACGTCACACCCAGTTGCTCTCAGTTCGATTGGCGCATTCTTGTATTCTATCATTCTAGGTTTAAACCAGCCAAATCGGGTGTTTAAACTTAGTTTAAACCACGGTCGTGCACTGAAAAACTGGCCCTATAAAGTTCTCCGACGCGATTGATAGGATTGTGAGCGCACCATCACACCCTTTATCAGCGAGTCTACTGCTTCCTTGATGGTAGCTATTTCCGCCTGAAAGATACTGCAGAAGTCGGGAAGCTTGAACATAGTTTTGGTGGAGAGTTTCCGATAGAAAAAACCTCCACCTGTTCAGGGCGAAGTCAAAGCCCTCCATAACTCCTATTTGCAGTTAGTTCTGTGACAATTCTGTCTGCAATATCCGCAGGCGCAGTGTTCAATATGACGTTACGCGCCAATGTAGGTGTGGTTCATAATGATCCACTAATTCCGATTAGGGTGATCCTCATCGATCGCGTTGTTGTACAAGTGTCGCCTTCTGTAGTGAGTTCCACCAGGCAAGGGCTCCGTGAAACAAGATAGCCTTAAATCTGGTTTCATAGAGCTAATGAATTACTTTGGGCTAGAGACCCCATCTTGCCGTTTCCTTAATGTAAGGCTTCCATGACAGCATCCAATCCAGGATCAAGTCTAAGTATTCGATCCTGTAGATAATCCTTATCAGGTTGGTTTCAAAAGCCAGATTATGAAAACTTGACTATTGCCTCTGGAGTGACATTGTTGAATGCCCCCTCGATATCGACACTTTACCAATGTGTGCAGGGGGTGTCCACCGACCTTATCGTTAAATAAGCATGTTGAGTTCTTGATAGACAGTCACGAGGAATAACGTTTCTTATGTACAGGTCTACGAAGCCAGGCCTAAAATCCCTAGGGGAAACATGAGAGCCTTTTTCGGCCTTCGAGATGAATGCAGCGCTGACTACCCTATAAGCTTTTGGGAGGTTAGCGGTCCTCACGCATCGGTCCCCGGCGACTTGAAGGATCGAAGAAGTACATGACCTGAAGTACAAAATATTGCAAAGCAGTACATTTAATTGTACTGCGAAGTACGAAGTGCAAGTGCTAAAAAAGAAGTACTGTACTTCCGAAAGAAGTACGGTTGGTCACATTATATATGCTGAGTGTCGATAACGATCCCTACAAGAAATCTTACTGGCAAATGACCGGTCACCTGATGGTCAGTGCTGATGCAATAATGCTGCCATTTCCTCATCAGAAATTCGGGGGTAATATGAAAAACCTGATCAGTTCTTTTGTGACTATGTGTTTGACTATGCGTCCCTTTCTCACATGGAGATTCTACCAGCAGTGCTAAAAGGTCTCTTTTCTACTTATTGTAATTCGTAAGGTTATTTTTACATATGTTTTTCTATGTATTGGTGTATATTTTAGTGTTTTAGTGAAGAGGTCAGAAAAAAGTTCTTTTCTTGTAGGGATGTTTAACTGAGGGTTGGGATTAACTAGTTATGGTGCAAACGGCTCTAAGGGCCATTTTCTTAAAGCCTGGTTGACATTAGTCTATTGTTATCGATGTCTTCCCCCCTGCATAAATTCATCATAATGAATCAAAAACTAATTTTTGGATTTTCAGGGCCATTTACTCAAAGCCTTTTCGGCACTAATCTCCGGTTAAACTTTTTTATGTGAGATAGAGCTTTTGCTGTTCTTGTGTCAGGGAATCTATGTATTTCTATGGTCAAAAGAACTGAAAAACACATTTTAAATTGTTTTTTAAAAAGTTTATTACGTGCTTGTTTTTAGACAAAAAAATCAAAATAAAAATTTTTATTTTTAAACATCTTAT